AGAGGGACTCTTCATCAGGGACTGTAGTGATAGAGCAAGGAGTGCTGGGTTTAAACTTAAACAGGGGAAGTTCAGGTTAGATATAAGGAAGGAGTTCTTTACTGTGAGGGTGGTGAGGTACTGGCACAGGTTGCCCAAAGAAGTGGTAAGTGCTCCATCCTTGGCAACATTCAAGGCCAGGTTGGACAGAGCCTTTGGGTGACATGAATTAGTGTGAGGTGTCCCTGCCCATGAGAAGAGGGTTGGCACTGGATGATTTTAAGGTCCTTTCCAACCCAAACCATTCTGTGATTCTAAGTTCTGTTCACTTAGCACTAAATCTTATTGTGCTTCCTGAGTAAAAAACATGCAGGGTATTTTTTTCCACTGTGAGCACAGTAGAGGGTAAGTGGGGAAATACTGTCCGTGAACTGCTGGATTTCCCTGACAGCCTTGGAGAGTGTCTGCACTAATACAAACCACATACATTTGGCTTGACTAAGATTCAACAAATGGGAAATAGACTTTTTTTGTTTCATTTTTTCCAGGAAAGTTGAAATCTGTAATACTTGTTTGTGTTCTAGCTCCATGTTTTCAATTAAACTTCAGTGAATCTGAAGTGGGTAGATTTCGTTTAAATCCACACAGCTGAGGAAACCTGGGCTTGCTCTTTCCCTGAATTTTCACTGAGAGGGGCTTTTATCTCCCCCTAATCCCACCATTTCTGTCAGGACATAATCTCTTTCTCAAATTTACATTTTAATTAGAAGGCCAGCTGAACTAGCTAAAATCAATAATGTCAGCATTCAGCAGCCTAACTTCAGCTGAAACCCCAGCCTCTCTCTTTCCTTCTATCGATTGATCTTGGGAACACAGTCTACTTTATTGCTTCAGGCAAATAGGTGCCATTTGGTCAATTTAAACAGAAAAAGGGGATTTGAACATCTTTATGATTCTTTCTGAAAGCCGCTATTGGAACAGTTGAACCCAGGTACTGTACCTGTGTTAAATAAAGCACACAGAACACCAGAATTCTTAAGAAGGATTTTACTTTTGCAACTGCACTTAATCCCATCTGTGTCTTAAAACAAAAAACCTACCCTGACTTTGGATACCATTGAGCTGGGGCAATCTGCACAGTCACTCTTGTCTTTATCGTGTTAGTGAAAACCAATTTTATAAGCAAATATTATTGAGAAAGATCCACAGTAGATGTGCAGTTACTGATGCTGTAGTGTATCTACCTTTAGCCATTTTTCTGTTAATGGCTTGAAATAAGAAATCAATGGGAAAATATTTTGTTCTTGTAACTCTTAAGAATTCCTGTATTGATCTTCAGGATGTGATTTTATCTAGCTAAATGTCACATTGTCCGTTTTATCTCTCTTGCCTTTCCTCTGTGTTGCTGACTGCTTGTCTCTGCTGTTCCCCTCCTTTCCCCCCCCTCCAAACAAAACTACTGTAGTGAACAAGCAGTCAGGCTTTCCATAAACATCATAGGAAAAAAATAGGGTTTTGCTGAGAACTTGTAATGCACATGCACGTATGTGTTGTGAGAGAGACATACCTGATACCTTCTGACTTCAAGATGGGTTGTAAAGAGTACACATGCAAGTGTTCTCAAAACAGTTGCTTTAAACAGTGCTGTCTAGAAAGGTATTCTTGTCCTTGTTAAATAGAGAGACAAATGGCAATTTAAAATGCTAAATAAAGTCTTAAGCGATTCTACATTACAGGTAGTCTATCACATATTTGTCTCAGCTAGCATTGTTCGTGCCAAAGGGCCTGTTCAAACTGTTTCTGTCATAAAATGAAGTTTGCTTTTCTAAGTCTTGATGATTCTAAAGTGTGGCTATCACAGAATCTTTTGGATTGATTCTGTTTCACTTTTTTGAGACCCTTTTCCAAGGGTTAGAAGTTAGGCACAGATTAGTCCTGTAAATGATTTTCTTTAACAATGTTCTTTAAAACCTTGTTGACTTTGGGAAGAAGTTAGATAACAAGGTGAATGTGGCATGTTCAGCCCTTCCATTAAAGTATGTGATGCGGGAACGACTGTGTAAGGGAGTAGCAGCATCACCAGCCAGCAACAAGGTAGCCCATGTCTGTCTACAGCTAGCAGGCAGGTTCTAACTTCCAGTCTGAGGACATAAAAATTAGAAAGGGCTGATCCTTCTTCACATCACAGTCCATGCATGGAAGCGTTCAAAAACTGTGTAGACGAGACCTCAGTGTTAATGGTTTAGTGGTGGTCTTGGCAGTCCTGGGATAATGGTTGGACTTGGTGATCTTAGAGGTCTTTTCCAACCTAGTTGATTCTATGATTCTGTGCTAACTTCAGTTCCCAGGTAGCATTGGACAGCTCAAGCAACTGTGTCTTTCAAGATACACTGCTTTAGGAATGCGGGCTTTGGTTTTGGAGTGTTTTCCAGAGAGTGGGGTTTGACACTGCCTCCAGACTGTGGAGAATGTCTCTTTGTCCAGTCTGCAGTGTTTGCTGCCTGTGAGCATGTGGACAGTTGGCTACTTGAAGTCTTTCCAGGACAGCCAGGACAATTTCCGTGGGCAACCCATTCCAGTGCCGCACCACCCTCACAGTAAAGAATTTCTTCCTTATATCCAATCTAAACTTCCCCTGTTTAAGTTTAACCCATTACCCCTTGTCCTGTTACCACAGTCCCTAGCAAAGATTCCCTCTCCAGCATCCTTGTAGGCCCCCTTCAGATACCGGAAGGCTGCTCTGAGGTCTCCACACAGCCTTCTCTTCTCCAGGCTGAACAGCCCCAACTTCCTCAGCCTGTCTTCATATGAGAGCGCTCCAGTCCCCCGATCATCCTCGTGGCCTCCTCTGGACTTGTTCCAACAGTTCCATGTCCTTTTTATGTTGAGGACACCAGAACTGCACACAATGATCCAGGTGAGGTCTCACAAGAGCAGAGTAGAGGGGCAGGATCACCTCCTTCGACCTGCTGGTCCCACTCCTTTTGATGCAGCCCAGGATACGGTTGGCTTTCTGGGCTGCAAGCGCACACTGAAGCCGGTTCATGTTCATGTCTCATCAACCAACACCTCCTTCTCCGCAGGGCTGCTCTGAATCTCTTCTTTGCCCAACCTGTAGCTGTGCCTGGGATTGCTCTGACAATGGGATATGCCCTACTAGAGAGAGGTAGAGGACTCAGCTGATCCTGGGTACTTAAAAAATGTAAACCCATATGTACCTACAGGGTGATCTAAAAGGTCAGCAACCTTCTTGAACTGTAACTGAAGTCAGGTAATACCATTTGTATGGTTGCATCCCATAGGTTACAGGGAATGAGCAGTGCAAATAAATCAAGGTCAGGCTGAATTACTGGAAGGCCTTATAAGATGGAAAAAGTGGTCAGGGCAAGTTGCTCTAACTTTGTGAAAAATATGGTTCTCTCTGAAATGAAAATGTTTTGTGTATTAAAGCTACTTGTCACTACAGGTCCTCTAATTTCCCACTCATAGGAATGCCACCTTAGCTGTTCCTTTTCTAGTTGACATCTTGTGGTACATGTAATGACAGGCAAACAAATTAGCAAAGCAAGAATACGTCAGGGCATAGCTTCAGGGCTGGCGAGAAGTAGGCAAGAGACTAAAAGTCACAACTAAATAATGGCTAAAATGTGTTAGGTAAACTGGTTGCTTTCATAAGAAGGTTGTGATAATTTGCTGAAAAGTTTAGTTTTGTGAAACTGTGACTTTGTGTTAATTTAGGGGTGTTTTTTTGAGGGATGGGGTCTTGCATTTCAGTCAGTTCTTTATAAAAAGGCTTTCTAAAGGGGCAACATGCAGTCTATTCCATTAGTGTGAGGGATCACATCTTCCCATTTTTAGGTGTCATTGGCTGAACAGTTCTTGTTACTACTGCCAGCTAATAGAGTTGCTTCTCTAGCTCAGTGCGTAGAGGCATGTGCTGTCTAACTGCTCAGCCGGTCTAATTGCATCATTACAGTCCATGCTGACTGTCTAATCTGGCCATATAAAGTAATTAAAGTTGCCCCATTACTGAGCTGCTGGTGCTGGACATCAGTGCCTGGCACTGCCTTGCAGTGGGTTTGTTCCTCAGGTGTAGCTCAGACACTTACTGTCTCTTGGGTGTATTCTGTGGATATATTGGTGGCTTCTGCCAGCATTTAAATACATTATCTTAGCAAATTGTGTGGTTTAGTATCTGGAAAGAACGTTCTCTAGCTAATTCTGCAGACCTACTTAGATACATATAATTTGCAGATGTTTAGAAATCCAAATTCAACTATTCTCTATGGTGTTGCCTCTTAAAAAATCAGGAAGATAAAAAAACACAGCTATTTTATTTTCTCGGCTCTGAAGGGTCAATATGGTAGCTGAGAATGATCAAGTAACAGGGATGTGCCCCATACACGCTGTTGTTTCACTGGGTGTGCTTCCCCACCAGCTGTGCTAGGTGACATTGTCCATCATGTGTTGCAGTGATCCAGCCAGAAGTGGTCTCTGTAGTGTTTTAGCAGGACTTTGGCAGAGAAACCACAAAGAACTGATCTTAGCGCACAGGAGGATATTGATGTATACCTTCCCTCTTGCTTTTTGCTGCTCTTAGATGTCTTTTGGGACTCTAGGTGTTTAACAGTAGTGCCAAGAGTTCCTTTCTTCTGTTTTACCTTGGTATAACCTTGAGTGCAGAAATGATGTACCAGGAAGTGACAGTAGCAACTTAAAAGCAGTATTGCAGTTAAAGCAAACATGTATTGTTAAAATCCTTCTGAGGTGAAGTAACATCATTCTTTGTTGTCACACCACGTCATACAAATTTAAAAGTTGGTTTGCTGCAGTTAGATACTCAGTGTGTTTCTATTCCAAAATAGAAAAAAATGCATAGGCAGAGGTATCTCCCTGTGAATGTATTGATGTCTAATGCAAGCTGAAAGCAGTAAACGTGTAGTCAGCATCCTGTTGGTCCCACTGTGAAGTGTTGAAGCTGGGAGGAGTGAATTACCTCTAAACATCAAGTTGTTTTGCAGGGCTAGAACCCCAGTCACCTCCAAAAGCCCTGGTGGGGACGACATCAACAGGACCAGCTCCACTGAGTTCCCGCACCCAGCTGAAGGGGAATGAAGATGAACTTGATCCAACCTGTGCAGCTGCCACACTGAAACTTATCAGAGACAAACTGCCAAAGTTACCACCTTCACATGCCAGGTTATCTTTGTTTTGATTCTTGTAGAAACCTCTTGCTCTTGTATTTATCACTCACAGAAGCACACAGAAAAGCACTCATGAACTAGACAAGCTGTTAAAGATGTCTTGCTTTTGGTTTCATTACAATTTGTTACTTAAATACACATTCACTGCTTAATATTTGGGATGTTGTTAGTGATTACACCAGGATCTTAAGGAATCATTTACTATGCACTTGATTTAGGTTTTATTTGGTGTGTGTGACATCTATGAAAATATAAAGTGTTCTCTTCTCTCCAAACAAGCAAACAAAAAATCCCCATTTATTGAGGTAATTTTTGGTTTGCAACTAAACTGAAATATCTTAATAATACATTGGAAAGTATTTTCAGCCATCTCTTGGTTCCTAGTGACTTATGCTGTCAGTGCTGCCTGGAAATGTGTTACACTGATTCCAAAGATGTATTTGTTGTCAATCCTGTTCAAAGCTTGGTGTAACTCCAGCCTTGTCTAGCATTTATCTGTGATTTGGGGATAAGCCTGGAGTAATCTACTTAGTGGTGTGTTCCTGAAAAGGTATTTCTGCACTGGCCTCCAAAACCTGACAGACTGGAATGTAATCAAGCTAAAGCGGTTTGCTTCATTAGAAGTACAGGGTTTGGAGTATTCAGGTGTACATTATGACTTTTAAACTTTAAAAATGTAATGTTTCAGTAAGGTGAACCAGACTATTTGAAGCTTTGTCAGTGACTACCCAAGGTCTCCACAGTAGTACTCTGAGGACTAATGAATTCTATAGTGGTATTGTACAGTAAGTATTATAAACCTGCAAGATGGAATTATGACAACAAAAGAAAAGACTTTGCAATCAGTGTGACTCCCAAACTCATGACATACAAACATGGGCATGAGTTTATGGAGGCATCTGTTAGGTGTACAGCATGCATGATCCATTACTGTCTCTATTAGGTCTCTGCACCCATGGTATAATATCTGTTAGCTGGCTCTCGCTGAATGTGCAGTTAAGCTTCATGGTGCAATGTGCTGTATGTAGCGTGTGTGGAGTTGTAGTTTGTATCCTTTTTTCCTTAAAAAAAGAGACAACACAGAATAACTCTGTAAAAGCAATTGTAGTCCTAGATCTAAGATAGTATTAGTGTTGGTGTGAAAACCTAATGCAAACAGGAAAAGTTGCTGTGGTCGTTGCTGTTCTCTATTGACTTTTCATCAATTTTCTCCAGTGACTCTGCAACTACTGAGCCAGCAGGCTTCGAAAAGCCTGACAGTAAGAGAAGAAAACTAGAAGAAGAAAGGGCTAAAGCTCCCCTCATGCCTTTTGGATTAGATCTTCACTACTGGGGACAGGATCAGCCAAGTGCTGGGAAGATTCTCAAGTAATGCTCTTCTTCTTTTAAGACAAATTAAACAAATATATAGATTTATTTGTAATCAGAGGTCATGCCGTGGGGTAACTCCCATTTCTTTTGATAATTACTTTTCTCCTTTCACTTGTGTTGTAGGATCCATAAACAAAGTCAGAAATTCTACCTTTAAATGATATTTATTTTGAGAAGATGTGATACTAATTAAATATCCTTTGATGCTTCAAAGCACTTCTTTCCCCCCTTCTCTTTTCATGTTGGTCTGTTATCTGCAGCATGGCATCACTTACTCCAATTTAAACTGGTACCTCATTATGCAAAGTGCTGTGCAAGTGCAGGATAGGCATTCCTTCTGATGGAGACTTTACAGGCTAAATAAATAGCAGGCAAGGTAGGAGAAAGGCTGAGGAGGTGTCAGGGGTATTTTTCCTGCCTTTAGAGTGGTAACTGAAGAAATTGGTATGCTTGTTCAGTCACACAAGAAATAGGTGGCAGTTACAGGATGTGAATTTGGATCTCTCACTTTCCATTCTTGTCTGGGAAGGTTTTGCTTCTTAGACTTCAAGCACTGCTGATTTAGGGAAAGCTTTAGCAATGCTTGGGAGAAGAGGTGTTAGGTATACATCAGAACTTGTTTCTAGCGATCAGGTTTTTAAGTCCTTTTTCAGCACTGGTATTTTTATATGAAAGTTGAGATACAAAATCCTTCCTCTATGTATAAATACCATTAAGTCTGCTAGAACATTAATATCAGTGTGTACTATACCTGGCTTGAATAAGGCAAAAATCATTGACTTGGCTGGGTTGCAAATCAAACTCTTATATTCTCAGCAGTATTACTTTACCTTAGTTTCTTACAAAAAAAAAATCCCAGTCCATAATCACAGTGTTTGCAGAAAGGAGCAAGAGAAAAGCCATGCTGCTGGACCTGATTGCATAAAACACAGACTATCTTTTAAATTACTGAAAGCCAGCAAAATATTAGTGTCTTAGTACAGTCGGTCCAAGCTTTGGGTTTTGTCTCATGGGGTGTAAGCTCTTCAAAGCTTATAAAATGGTTAAGATTTTCAGCAGGGCTCTAAGAAGCATTTGTCTGTGATAATGCCAAAAAGGTAGTAAGGCTTTATTTTACATTGCAAATGAGTTATTCAAGTCATAAGTGAAATCAGAAGCATATTTCACTGCCTGTCTGCCTTGTGCTGTACTGTTTTATTTTTATGCTTTCCAATAAAATAGAGGGCACACTTCTGAACCTCCTAGTCTATAACTACAGATATGCCAATCTAACTAAAGATAATTTAAGTAACTCTGCACACACAATACCATTGACCCCGGGTATAAAATATATTTATTGTGAAATTAAGCAATTCATTGGCCAAATCCTTTAAGTTTTCTGTATGCACACATACCATCTCTAGAAGATGCTTAGGGGAAAAAATCAAACCTAAAAACCAGACAACACATATAGAATGTGTATGGAATTTGAATTTTTAAAATCTGAAGTGGAAGAGTCTTTCTCTTTCACCTATTTAACAGTACATGGACTTAATTGGAGCATTCACAATAAATTTAGATTTTAATAGAATGCAGCTACCAGGAAGATGATTTTCTAAAGCTTTGTTTAGCTGGTAAATGGTGAACTATCGCCTTCCCTAGAAGGTAACTGTGGGCTTTACAAAAACCTTGTACCAAACCCTTTTCCCTACTTTTGCCTTCACTCACAGAACTCACTAAGTTAGTTTAAGGACTGTTAAAATGAGTGTATAAAGCTCTAGTAGTACTTTTTTTAGGGGGGAAGAGAGTGTATACCCGTGTTGTACTGTGTAGAGACTATGCCAGCCTAACTGACTGGTTTGGATAGCATGGACCTTCCAAACTCATCTGCCCTCCTCCTTGAATTAAATTAGGATCATAAGTAAACTAGCTGGTGCAGCAGTTCTTAATGCTGTGACTAGGATATTTGAATTAGCTCATTTAACCCTCCTAAATGCATCATACATTTACATTATTCAAGTTTTTGATATAACCTTCCAAGCAGCTTAGGAATGAAGTTGATACAGATTTGTTGAAGGAGTGCAGCGTTTCTCCAGGAACTTAGTCTTAGATTTCAGTTAACCACTACTTGTCTTTTATTCCTCCTAATATATAACTGTGTAATTTCCATTAAAACTTCTGTTATTTGTCTAGATCAGTAACACTCATTTCTATGAGTGTGAGTGGGGTGATGATCTGTTGATTATCTGTTTTCCTTCTGATTCCTCTTACAAAAAGGTTTCACTTGTCACATGCATTGTTTTGAAAGTTTTCATGTTCTGCCTTTTTACAATGTTGCTTACATTGCAACAGCAGGAAAGCAGAACGCTTAGGGAATTCACACTGCTTTGTTCTTTTCTCACGTGCTTATAAGTCATGCTGGGAGAAAGTAAGTTCTATGCTTGTAGTAAACAATATATATTAATATCTGTGTAGAAATCAGGCTATTTTAAGTCCACTTCCCAAATAGTGGTTGATGACATATAGAGTAAAACATTAATCTTGATTTTCTTGGGATTTGTAGGATGCAGATTTGGAGAGGAAGATGTAAAATAGGTCTTTTTCTTAATTGAGAAGATTGGCATGCACGACTGTTAAATGCTGCTTCATTCTCATATAATTGTAATTTGATAATTTAGAGGGGGAGCAGAGTTCAGACCACCAAAGGACACCAGAATTTTACAAAGGGATTCTGTAAGGCTACCTTGCACGTAGAAATCCTGTGTGGTGTCTTCTTAGCAATGCTTTCCCCTCAATGTGTTTGTAAGGTTAGTAACACAGAGCCAGCGGTCAGTGTTGTTTTCAGAATTGTTTTCAAACTAAACAAATAAGAAACCTATTTAATTCTTGTAGTCCTGTCTGTTGTACACTCATGCCACATAATTCCTGAAGCTAAAATACTTCACCATTCAAACATCTAACTAAAGTCACGTTGGTGTATTATAAAGATTCTTAGAGCTTTTTTGTTTAGGCTGTAGTTTGCAGAATTGAAAACTTTTTATTTTAAACAAAGAAAAGTATGGAAACACATTATAAAGCTTAATGTTAAAGTAGCCTCTATCTCTTTTGCCTTTATCACCTGATTTACCAGAAGGAAGCTATTTGTACTTTATAGCAGGTTAAAATTCTTCTAGCACTAACAAGATCTATTCTAGGAAGGCATTATTGGATAACATGAATCTCTTCAACAAGGACTTGACTTGCTGAACATTTTCCTGAAGATTTGGCAAATCCTAGAATGGCTTCAAAATTGCTTGATCCCTCTTTTAACCTACTTCTAATCTCTTTACATAGTTTTAAATGGTCAACTATTCCAGTAAAGCCAGCAGTTGTATATGTTGTAGGTTGTAAAGGTCAAATCATTTCCTCTACCTTTTTTTTTTCCCCTTATCAGCTGCTGAAAACTTGCTTAGATAAAATTCATCAAAACTCTTCAGGCCCACTAAAGTAATACTTTAAGTATTAGCTTATGTGCTTCGTGGAATTGAGATTGTGATTAGTGAAGCCAGTGTTCATGTGTGCATGGCTGTGGCAGAAGGCGAAGTCTCAGAGGTAGGGATGGTATCCAAAGATATTAATGAGTGAGAGGAATTGGATATGGATAGAGGAAATCATAGAATCATAGAATAGTTAGGGTTGGAAAGGACCTTAAGATCATCTAGTTCCAGCCCCCCTGCCATGGGCAGGGACACCTCACTCTAAATCATATCACCCAAGGCCTCGTCCAACCTGGTCTTAAGCACTGCCAGTGATGGAGCATTCACAACCTCCCTGGGCAACCTATTCCAGTGCCTCACCACCCTAACAGGAAAGAATTTCCTCCTCTCATATAAGTCTGGGATGGATTGGGTGGAAAAGCTATGTGGAAGAAAGTGATTGTAAAGTATCTTTTATGAATTAAAGGATATCCTTCTCAAGACGTGTCATCTCGGGATATCCACATGCAGGCTGGAATTTTATTTTTTTCTCTTAGTTTAGCTGTATTTTTAACTCTTGACCTTATTTTTCCTTAAATTTGGGATGGGATTGTTGTTGTTTAACTTCAGATGTCTCAAAGTTAGATATCTAAACTTAAGCTGGTCACCCTAATTTGTTTTCATGATTAGCAGAAAGAAACATCAGAGGGACAGTGAATTGCATCCTAAGACTGGCATCTAAAATGTCAGGTAATCACTCTCTGGGGTTGCCTGTTTTCATTATTGGCATCCTAGGGTGGCTAAAATGAAATTATATGACTACTATTAAGAAAATTTGAAAATCCTCCATCACTCAAGGGTTCTTGCTCCCCTTCTCTCCCACTCCCACATCCACTGTCATGGTACTAATCGTCCATTTGCCTATGTAATTTACCTTTGTAAATAAAGAAATCTAATTTTAAAATAGATTTCCAATGGATTAGTTTAATTTCCTAGAGGAACACCTGTAAGTTTCTCAGACTTATGGACACTGTATAAGAAAACCCAGAATAATGAATGTTTATAAGGTTCAGCTGCTTGTTTGCTCTCGTCCTTGGTCTCAGTATATTGCAACACTGATTTCAGCTCCTGCTTCTCTGCTGCTACAGGAATACAGTTACCAGGAGAAGTTAAGATCAAACTGTTTCCTCCCTAATCTGTCTTCTGTGTTTGATCACAGAAGTATTTTGTTATGAAGAATCTTAATTACAGAATTACAAAGTTATTCACTGGAACTGGATATCAGATAACTGACGCTGAATGTCAGATCATGAGCCACAGCTAAGCCTCGTAATAGGTTGGTAGGTTAGACAAGAAATCAATACTAGACAGGCTTTTGTGATATTTGAAAAACATCTTCATAATATAGGAGTCATAAGAAAGAATGTTAGATTCCTGGGTTTATCCAACTGACTGGTAAAGCTTCCTTTCCTTTTACATGTAAGTTCACCGCAGGATGATACCAGCATCTTTATGTGCTTTCTTACAACTTTGTGAATAATTGTCATTCGTTGTTTCCCCAGATTTGCTTCTGAGCATCGATTTTGGGCACCCAGTGAAGTAGAGGAAGAGGTGGAAAATAAAGAAATAAGTGAAATGTTAAAAACTAGATATATCACATTTGCTGGCAAGTTTGAACCAGTGAAACATAAATGTCGAGCACGGATGCCTGATGGAAGGCTGTGTGAAAGACAAGATCGGATTAAGGTGGGCACTAAGTTACCTAACTTCCAGGATATGTGCTATATGGAGAAGATCTCATTAAAACGTGTCCATGAATGTTGATTTCACATTGCAAATATAGCTTGAGGCAGTAGAAGAAAATTGTATCTGGAGAAATTTCCCTGCCTATGGCCAGGGGATTGGAGCTAGATGATCATAAGGTCCTTTCCAACCCAAACCATTCTATGATTCTAAATTTACTATTTATATGTGTTTCGTATGGGAAGAATCCTTTTGGTAAGGAAGCTGTGAACATTTAAGGAACTTTCAAATATTTTGGGCATTTTTATTTATACTTTATTTTTACATATTACATATGAGTACATTTACCTGTCAGTAAAGCAGAGACAGTTGCTGAAAAGTTCTTATTTAAAGGCGCATTTGGTATTAACTGTATTTAGAAACTTGGGTGTTTGAGGGGCAAATTAGGTTTTATGAAAGCTAAATCCTTATGCAACCTTAAATTATGAGCCCTATGAGCAGAAATACTTTGCTTAAGTACTTTGTTCTAATATCCCTGTTCTTCCTCTGTTATCTGAGATTGAAGGATCTGAATGCACTAAAATACTTTAAATGGGATTGTTACACGATGGGGATATTGCATAAGCAACAGTATATGACACAGCATTGGTGCCCTTGTGACTTGACAGGATGTGCTGCCTGACTGCTTGAAATTGGATATTCATATCACAAAGAGCTTATTTCTTTGAGATCATGAATATATTAAACACATGGTGTGTATGGGATCTTCATGCTTTCTAAGGGGGAATGAGAATCAAGTAGAGGGTTTTGTTGCTTGATTCCAGAGTCTGACTTTAAAATATGTTGTATAACATGTAAGCATATTCTTTCCATTCGGGAGCTGATATTTTTTTTTTCTCCCTTTCTTTCTGAAGTGTCCTTTCCATGGAAAGATAATTCCTCGGGATGAATCTGGGATTCCCATAAATGCTGAGGACAGAGCCAGAGAAGAAAAGATGCGGTTTGAGAAGCAAGCAGCTCAGCCAGGTTTGTGTCTGCATAACATCTTAAAAAAAAAAAAAAAACAAACCAAAAAATACTAAGCCAGAGGTAGGAGATAAGCTGTAAATGGAAGCTTCATATCCTTATTGTCTATATGTTTGTGTATATATTATATACAATAGTCACAATATCTACAATTTATTCATAATCTATACAATTATTGTGTAGATTGTAACTACATAGTATCTATGTATTTCATTTACTGTGTTTATATATTGTATCTATGAATAGATACAGCGTAGATACGCATTGGACAACAGTCTCTGTATAGGACATTTTTTAGACATCAAATGTGACAGGCTGTATGAAGAGCTGACACTTTTGTGGGTAAAGGCAGAGGCTGAGATCCATAGAACTGGATCATATTTCTGGTTTGCTCCTAACCATATTCTCTCGGTTGATTCTAATTTGCGGATCATTTGCAGTGATTCTTACTTATGTGATAAATATGGATGCATGTGTACACTGAATAAGGTTAACATTGCATTTGTTCTTTATTTCCAGTAGTTACAATGTTCCTAACGCTTCTCAGACAGATGAGTTATAGCCTTTATCTTAAGGAACATGTTTATTAAGGACAATTAAACCTATTTCGTGATAAATGCTTGACTTGTTCCCATGCTTCTGAAAAGAACTTGTCTTATCTTGCTGGTCCCTAAAAGCTGTGATTTATGTAATGTAATGCTGATATAATCAGGATCACTGTGTTACCACAGATATTGGCAGAGTTGTTTTTTTGTCACACTGTGGGAACTTGTTTTTCCTGTATCTATTCATATATTCTCTATTTCCTATATCTACTCACTTACTACTTGTGTTTTAGAAGAATTCTTAGCCTTGCTATGTTATGCATCTGTGCAGCACCACTGGAAAATACTTGGAACAAGGGAAGCCCTCACCTTGGGCTTTATTGGCATTATAACTAGTCTGGATGTTCTAATAGGCATGATATTTGTGATGGGCTTGGGGAGAAGAGCAAGCAGACCTCTGCTATTTAATTGCTTACGTGTTACTGTGCAATACTCTGGATTTCATTTTCAAACAATGCGGATAGACAGCAAAACTAACGAACTTCTCCTTGTGTCCTCTATGCTGTTTTCAGGTGAGGAGGGAAAGCTCATCCTTCCCCAAGATTATTTGGGCATTTTTAGCCAGGATAAAGCTCTAGACTGCTAGGTAAGGAATACAGGCAATGAAAAAGTCAGCAAGCAATGAATACGCAGGCAGGAAGACTTCCAAGGAGAATAAGAGACTTTTTTGCAATAGTCCAACTAAACCTCATTAGTAATGGACAGAAGGTAGATTTTCATAGAGCGCCAGGGGGATTGCAACCAGGGAACTGCTGGAAGTTGATGGACTGCAAAGGAAGATGGGAGAGAGGGATCTATCCAGCAAAGACATAGTGTATAATTGGAGGGGACAGATTTGTTTTCAAAGCTTTTATTTAATCTGTCTTCCTCCAGAAGACCTTAGCTTTCTCCGGTTTAAGTTATTTTTTCTAGGTGAGTGTTCTGCATTCTAATTAAACTTACCTATAGGCTTTATCATTTTGATAACTTGTAGTATGCTCCCTTTAAAGAGTTAGTTCTCCCTTAAGCTCTCAGTATTTCATCACTTTCACAGTCATATATGTTATTAATGAGGTTTACTAAACCTTCCACGAAATCCCTTCAGAGCATAATGAACAGTTGTTGGTCTGTTATTCATAAGGGTCTATGTCAAATCAATGTGCTTTTAAATACGCAACTCATCCACCCTGTTTCCTTTAATACTGATCTGGCTGTCTTTGAGTTAGTGTGCTTGGCAGTTACCAACACCCCCCAAAAGCAGGGGGTACTGAACCCCTCCTCGTATTTGCATGTGTCGAAGTGCTGTGTTTACAGGCAGTTTCCATTCTTGCCCATGTGGAGTGAAGTGCTCTAAACTGGCATCCAGGCAACAGCATGGGCACAGCTGAATTGTGAAACCAGGGCAGTGGTTTGGGTGTTGTGCAAATAGGAGAGTTCCCAACTTAGTTGTTATCATAGAATCACAGACTGGTTTGGGTTGAAGGGACCTTAAAGCTCATCCAGTTCCAACCCCCTGCCATGGGCAGGGACACCTTCCACTAGAGCAGGTTGCTCCAAGCCCCATTCAGCCTGGCCTTGAACACTGCTAGGGATAGGGCACAACTTCTCTGGGCAACCTGTGCCAGTGCCTCACCACCCTTGCACTAAAGAACTTCCTTATATCTAATCTAAATGTCCCCTTTGCCAGTTTAAAGCCATCCTCCCTTGTCCTATCCCTACATGCCCTTGTAAAATGCCCCATCCCAGCTTTCTTGTAGCCCACTTTAGGTACTGGAAGCTGATCTAAGGTCTCCCCCAAGTCTTCTCCAGGCTGAACCAGTCCAGCTCAGCCTGTCTCCAGAGCAGAGGTGCTCCAGCCCTCTGAGCATCTTCGTGGCCTCCTCTGAACTCACTCCAACAGGTCCATGTCCCTCTGTCAAGAGAGCAGTCGGGGGAGAGAATCACCTTCCTCTATGGGCTGGTCATGCTGCTGGTGATGTAGCCCCTGACATGGTTGGCTTTCTGGGCAGCAAGTGCCTACTGCTGGCTCACGTTGAGCTTCTCATTAGCCAACACCCTTAAGTCCTTCTCAGAACTGCTCTCAATCCAGACAAACCTAAACTATGTTTAAACTAGCAAATTAAGCTAGTAGGTGTTCTTGAGGGACTAGTTTCAAACTAGAAACTAATACTCTTGGTCTAAAAATCACTTGCACTGAAAAATATTGATTTATTTTTTTTCTGTGAAATTGCCATTGCTTGAGGCTAGACATAATATTTATTTTTATTACAGTGTCAGCTTGGTGTTGTTAGAGGATTCTCACCTCTGGCCCACACAGATGTGTATGTTAGTCCCAAACCAGTGTTGACATTGCTGCGTTGCATTATTGTGTGCCGTTGTTAAGCTGAGATGTCATACAAAGGTCCAGCTCATCTGTCTGGGGAGATACTGGACAAGCTGTAGTGCTTAGTTTATTGGACAAAACCTTGCAGGTTTATAAAACCATATATAGATATACATATATATATACATATACACACATTTATATATATGCACGCACATATACCAGATGTCACTAAATATTTTTATCCACTTTCCCTGCTTTGTTTCTCACTACTTTTATATTTATTTTATAGTATTTTCTTCAACCTTTGAAAATGGCCTTTTGTTGGTTTGGGCTTGTGGTTTGGAGTAGGGGGGCTGTTGGTTGGTTTCCATTGGGATGTGTTTGGTTTGGATTCTATTTGCAAAGGAGTTGAAGCAAGTCTGAACAGTGCTGCTATGGGAAATATACAAGTGGGAATCCACTCTGTACTGTAAGTGCTTTGGTCTTACCATTGACAACATCATTTGCCAATGACAACAGTTTGAAAAATTCTGAGACGGCATTAAAAGATGAGGTGAGGTTAAATTGCACCAAAATTGTTCCTACAAGTTTTCCTATTGGATAGTAGGTTTATTTTCATCCTTGAGTAATTGAAGTGGAAAATAATTCTGTAAAATAATACAGTTTGTGTGATAATACCCATGTTTTGACAACACTGCCATTGATATTAAAGAGCATTTTTTAACTTAGTATAAGATTTTAAACTCTAACTAATGTCCACAGAATGGTGTTTTGGGCTCTTCAGTCCTGAAACAATGAATCAGGTGGGATTACGCTGACCTGCTAATCTGCAGCGTTCATCCTTTTCCAATAGTTCGCACACAGGAGCAAATTAAGTGCCTATTTTTTGTGTCAACCCTGAAGAGTGTCTGGTTTTTCAGCCCTTAGTGACTTGTTAACAAACAGGTATCAGGACAGGCTGGTGAAGGCAGGCCGCTGGCCAGTCAGATGTGAAATAGCATCTCTTTACTAACTACGGTATTGATTCCCGCCTGCCCTTGCAAACTGTGTAATTTTCTTTTCCCTGCTGTTAAACTCAGTAACAATGTATGAAGAGCTTTAGGGGCCCATCGATGCTCAAAAAGGCTGCTCTTCCTGGCATTCTATTGATTTTTCTCAAAGGCTTTTAAATTGCTCCTTCATTTTACTCAAATGCTCATTTCATCTCTACTGGATGCCGGCATTTTTTCGTTGTGTTTAAACAATTGCTCCATTCAGGGGGTTCCTAAACTGTGACGCCTTCTTATTACTGGGAGATAAACTGTTTAGACACTTTTCCTTAATCTTGGATTAATCGTTCCTGTATCTGAATTGTGCTGTTCTGTATTCCTTCAAAAAAAGAAGTCTGTGAGGTCTTATGATCCATCAATTATATGTGTTCTATTTTCTCCCTCTATACTCCTGCTCAGTTCCTTGCACAGCTTCATTTTCCTCTTGCTTTTGGTGTGTTGGATTTTAATCGGTCCTTGCTTTCACATATCATAGCACGTTAGACCTAACCTTTCCTTGGAAAATTGCTCTGGTATTCCTAAACATTGTGTTCTTAAGTGAGGACATAGCCTCTGACCTTCCTGAAATGTTGTTAGCAATACTTATCACACTCAGTGACTTATACACAGTCACTTGGTGTGTAAGTGAAATTGTAGAGTTGTTTAGGACTGTTTATTTTTCTATACCTACATAGATGTTAAATAAGGGTAGTAGACATTAGTGTTAGAATGTCTGCAGGCAAAAAAGGCTGATAGACATACAAGAACCTATATAACGAATGGTAGCTATCGGTTGTTAAATTGCAGAATTCTGGCAGTTATGCTGAGTTGGGACCATGTTATTCTTTGAAGTGGTGCTTGCTACATTTTGTTCCCAATCCCTATGCTTGAAGTCTTTAATGCAATGCCATTTTCCTAACTTTGCCCTTGAAGATATCCATCCTCTGGCCACTTTTTTACTTTCTACTGTGTTACCTCATTCTGATATGCAAGGCTCTACTACAGGTGAAAGACCACAGTTTCCTTAAAGAGCTTACAGTTTTTCCTGTGGTGGCATCTCTGATCAGAATCCATTTACAGGGTACGGTTGGATTCTGAAGCATTAAAGTTTTGATAAAACCATAAAACAGGTTTTCAATGAGATAAATTTAACTCTTATTATTGTGAAGAGAATAAACTTGATTTAGACATCTTTTTCAGATACAAAATTTGGCTCATGGCAACAGGGTCATGTTGTCATACTCACAAGCGCTATTTAGGTGTCAGCTACCAGCTCATGTTTAGAAGCAAATATGATTGATGCAGAAGAGTTCCAATGTCATCACCCTACTCTGCTCAAAAGTTGACATATTCTATTTAGCTTAGGTTTATTTTAAAGCTTACTCAGAATTTATCTCTGGAGATAAGGTGCTCAGCTACACTGTTGGCCTTTTGTTCCATTTCTAAATAATAATCACTGTGTTTGTGTCACCTTTCCTGCATGGAATAGTTTCCTTGGAATTTTGCTGCTGTGGTACTGCAAAAACTTAAGTCTTCCTACAGAACGGTTTTATCTGTAGCAGCTATTAATAGATACTAATCCCAGACTCACAGGGCTTCTTCATCAACATCTGTCATTTTGGCTAACTGCTTTATCCAGTCTTTCTTTGTGTATGCAACTTACAGCACAGTGACTGTCCTCTCCTAGCAGCGACAAAGCCTTTACCTTAGAAGAATCTGCATTCTGCCTGGGTTTGGAGTTTCAAAGTGTGTGCTTTTCCCTTTAAACAGAGTGGCGAGATCCAGAATTCATGAGAGAAATTGAAGCAGCCACAGGAGTGGATCTTGGTTCCTCTAAAATTAATGGAAAAGAAGGGAAAAAGAAAGGGAAGAAGAAAAAATACCCAAATCTGACAGACCTGAAGCAGCAGGCTAACACTTCTCGTTCCCGGCTTGAGAAGAAAGTCTTCAATAAGTAAGACACTTAGTTCTCTAAAGCCTGATAAATTGCTATTTCCTTATGTTTCACTGGTACTTTCTGTTTCTACATTAACATGCACTTACTAAACAACTTTCTTCACTAACTGCAGAGCAGGAATGCCCTCTGTATCTCTGGAGGGTCAAGAGCAGCCAGTACTCATGACCAAGGTTATTTGTTTGACAATGTTCAGTTAATTTACAGAATTCCCCTGATTTGTATTCCTATGATTTTTTTTTTCCATCCTTCACAAATTTTTATCTTTAATTGCTGTACTAGCTTCTCTGGATGATCATTTATTAATCGGATGGATGCTACTTTACGTGTGCAAGTAGTACTGGATCTGGAAAGAAGATGATGTGTTCAAAGTGACACAATTTACAGCATCAGAAGCACTGTAGTAGTGTAAATGGAATGAAAATGAAGTTTTTCTCTTTTGAAAGCCTAAGATAAACTGTCCTGAGCAGAACTTCAGTTAATAAAAGGATCTATCAGAACCCCTTGGATTTTGGCATGTTGACAGTTGCCCTCACACCTCTAGTTTATGCTCAGAGACCTTCCCAAAGTTTTGACTGTGTGTTTTCTCTCACTCCTGGACATACTAAATTGCTAGCTGGGCCTGATGCCGTGCCTTCCCACCACACAGTGATCCCTTCCTCTGTATTGTTCAGGGACACATTGTCATTACAGTTTTCTTCTCCTATACCAAGAATGCATTTAGCTGGTTAAGAATCATAGTATATAGTTAGGGTTGGAAAGGACCTTTAGATCATCTAGTTCCAATCCCCCTGCCATGAATATTTGGATCCTTGTGTTATGGTCCTTGTTCACTTAACCCCTGCTGCCCTCTGTAAATATCAAGGCCTGGGACCTACTGCAGATTTCTTCTCAGTGTAGGAGTCTGGAGATGATTATTCGGTGTACCAGAGACATGTGGACACAGTATTCTTCCCACCATGGTGCTGTTTCAGTATGTATCTCTCTCCTTCCTGCACATGTGAAAACAGTATCTCTTGGCCTACATTTAGACTGAGAAGAACCTGTTTGGATGGCATTAGCATTCAGACATGTAGAACAAAGGCACGTCCTTGTCTTACATAGACATATGTTAACTTTAAAGCAGACACTCTAGCTCAAAGAGAAATGGGAGCCTATGGTTTTAGAATGTATACTATCTCCACGTGTCCACTCTGTAATGCTATTTCTGATGTCTAATCTTGGTTAGATGTGGCTGCAACATAAATTTGCTTAAGCATGCTCTGGTCTTCCTCAAATGGAAAGCAGATGTAGCTATTGAAAGAGTTTCACATGTAAAATTCAAGTAGTCAAAGGAAAGTGAAAAGTTTAAAGTTCTCAAATGAAAAAAGCAAAATTATTATTATAAGATCATTAATGGTAGCTTATTCCCTAAACATACTGGATTAGTTGAACAGCATCCAAGGCACAATATTTGTTTAAACTCTATTTTCCCTTTTCTGCTGTAATGGTTATAATAACCAAGCCAAATCCACATTGCTCTTAGTCACAGAAATAACACGTTTTCTGTGGAATTCTTATCTCACCTATCTTAGAAGTCAGGGACACACAGTTCTAATGATCAGAATTTCATATCAGCTTTCACAAAACAAATTTTAAAAGCTGGTTTTGGTTTATTGTGGTTTGTGCTAATGATTTTGAGTGTGTGTTAGTGCCAGGCATAGGGTATCAAACCTGTCATGTTTTAATAGGTTTCATGCTTTGCAGCACTAAATAAGATGATAACCTTGGCTCCTTCTAACAACCCCAAATTACTTGAAATGTATAGGTGATAAACCCAAGCTCTAGTCTGCCAATAAAGTTAAGTGAAATTGCACACAGATCATCAAAGTGGGATCTCATTTCATTTACAGTATCGCACAATCCAGTGGTGGTAATGTAAAACCTACATGACGTGAAAGTGTCAAGGCCACTCTGCACTGCTAAAGGCTCACTTTTCTCCTACCAATTAGCAATATTTGAAGTGCAAACCCATGACCACATCTTCCTTACTCTGGTAACTTTATTGGCAGAATTTTGTTAAAAGCATACCTCTCCCAAGGCATTTTTTCAGAATATTGGTTTTCATTACAGTCGCTGCTGAGAAGATCTTTAATCCCACCATGTAGAAGTATCCCCTGTTTTGAGATGTTTCAAAATGGCTTTTGAAATGAAGTTGTTATGGAGAGCTAAAACAGACATCAGCTTGCTTCTCAGAGATAGACCCTTCCAGCTCCGCTTCTGCGGTTGTAGGGCCTGATCCTGAAAGAGCTTGGTGCACACTAGTAGGTGAATGTCTTGTCTTCTGCACAGCCTTCAGCATCCTCAGAAGTGATAGAGCCTAACATCACTAGGCTTGAAACCATCCATGTGTGATGGAACCTGCCAACTGCATTTTGGTGTAGAAATCAAAGGAGACATCAGTCAGTGCCCATGTTCTTAAACGAGACATAGTTCCTCAAACCAAGTCCTTATTAGGTGGTATACCTCCCGTGTTGGCAGGGCACCCAGGTCTTTACAGAGTTGTGTCAGGAGAGTTTCCTTCTTCATAAACAGAGGCAGGGTGACATCTCAGCACACCTGCAAATAGCAGCCTCAGATTTCTGAGCTTTTGTGCTAGAGACACTCAGAGTAACCTGTAAATATGGGAACTCTAGAATCAGTGAAGGACAAAATTCCCTAGATAAGATAAACTCAGATGTGCACAACAGCTACTGTAAGTTTCTGTGGGGCCAGAAACAGAACAGAGCATTCTTTTGACTTCTGCTATCTTACCCCTCGTGATTATGAATTATGAACACGGTCCTCTGCCTTGCTAGTTAAAGGATATATAGACTTACTCTCTCTGTGCCTGTTATGAGAATCTCCTGCTCCTACACATGCTGTCTAGGCATCATTGTCCTCACCCTCAACACCTCAGCTTGTGCGATCTTCACTCAAAGTTTGTGTAAGGAAAAACTGTCCATGTCTCCAGTCTCCCAGTTCAAAAGCATAACAGTCACTTGCAAAAGAAGATAATCTCTTGGCACCATCTTTACTGGGAGGCAGCAATGGCAGCAAATAAAGAGCAGCAACACTCATCAGATTTAAGAGCATCAGAAAGCTTAAGAGCTCCAAAGTTGATTTCTTTATTTCGTTTTTGAATCCGAAGAACACAACAGAGTTGTCTTCAAGCACAGCAGTCACTGTGAAGGGCTAAAATGCTTTTGCCCATCATGACACAGCAGAGATCCCATTCCACTGGAATGGACATACTGTCCTTACAATGCTAAACTCTAAACACTTGGCTGTTCTGCAGCAGTTATCCATCTCTCTGCAGAGAGATACATGACAATCTCTGGTGTCTTCCTAAACTAGTGTTGTATTTGTGGACTAAAAACTTGCTGCTTAGGAGTGGGGATGCTGCTGGTGTGAGCAAACGCATTTTACTCTGCACACAGCTGATGAAATGGGGTTTCAGTAACCTCTGAAAGGAAGGTTGCTAAATAGGTTATAGTTACATGAATTGACCAGCAAGCATTCTAGATTCTGCAGGTCGGATTTCATAAGGGTTTCTGGGTTTTAGGTTTTTTAGATCCTGTTAGATACCTTTAGTTATCTTCCCCCCCAAACACACCCCGAGAGCAAGTTAGGTGCTTTTGAAAAATCAAACTTGCTGTGTGTGACTATCAGAAATAGTGCTCAGAGGGTGGAATGCACAGCCATTAGGCTGAAGGACTTTCATTTGTTTACTCCTGTTAATAAAAACATTGCTTGAATTAAACTATTTGTATTGCTGCAGCTAATTTAGTTAACAAGACAAATTTGTTCAGCCTCATCAGCGCAGTATTCAGAAGCCTGGGAGTGATTAATCATAGTTCATTCCCCCCCATTCATAAACGTTCTCTGATACTGTGTAGAATCAACATAACTGGGTTTATTGTTTTGTGTTTCTCTTTCAGAGGTGCCATGAAACGGGTGGTGAAAGCGATGAACCGAGTGGACCAAAGGAAGCACGAGAAGTTTGCCAACCAGTTTAACTATGCACTGAATTAAGTTGTTAATCTTCTTTACCCTTCAGGTGATTACAAAAGTGCAAGTGCACAAAACCTTTAGCATAGATCTTCATATTTGTACTGAAACACTGTGCTTGGTGTGGTTTTACTGGGATAATCTCTTTTGCTTTCAACTTTAACTTATTTGATAATAACATGAATTTTGACAAAGATGTGGAAGTATAGAATGGAATGCATTCCACAATTATTTCAATTATTTGAAATATACATGAAATAGAGCATGTTTTATGACTTGTACATACTCTGGATGAAATGTTTGGAGTTTTTTCCTTCCTAAGGGGCTCATGTAATTTATACTTCCTTTACGAACATGTGTGTTGTAATTTGCCTCCAGTTGCATGCCTTAGAAAAAAAGATGCCTTAGAAACAGTCAAGATTTCCACCAGAGAAAGGCATCTACCAAAGCAGCCTTTTGGTACCTAAAGGGACCTACAAGAAAGCTGGAGGCAGATTTTTTACAAGGGCATGTAGTGACAGACCAAGAGGGAATGGCTTTAAACTGACAAAGTGGACATTTAGGTTAGGTACTAGGAAAAATTCTTCCCTGTGAGGGTGCTGAGGCGCTGGCACAGTTTGCCCAGAGAAGCTGTGGCTGCCCCATCCCTGGCAGTGTTCAAGGCCAGGCTGGACGGGGCTTGGAGCAACCGGCTCTAGGTGCTCCCAACCATGGCACAGGGTTGGGACTGAATAAGCTTTAAGGTCTCTTCCAACCCATATACGCTATGATTCTACGATTTGCTCAGCCTAATAATCTAGAAAGTGCACTACATTACACAGCACAGGAGCTCCTGACTACCTCTGAAGACCTCTTGTGTACACACACAGAAAAATATCCAAATCAACTGATGCCTTCAAATAATGAATGGAGCAAAGTTTGATTTCAGCAAAAGATGTCCACTGCACTGGAAGCAAAGCCACTCTTACTATCAGCATTAGCTAACTTGACAATAAAGGCTTCAGGTGAAACTGAAGACGGGGACAAACCAAGTTCATCAGCAGATCAGTTGAATCAACTGCTAAACTGATTTTGTTATTAAAGACACACGCATGAAAAGACCCCAACAAGACAAACTCATCAACAACCACATCCTGCACATTTGAATGTAAAATAGATCACTGGATTCTGGGACCCCAGAACAGTCCAAATGAAGCTCTTTGATCTTGGAGATTAACATTTAAAAGAGCCACAAAGGTTGCTATGCCACTGTTTCAGAGATTCTTGAGCCTGCCCAGACTGAAGGTGTTCATTTATAAGACATGTTTTCTCCCTGTAGAAAGACTGGGGAATTTGTATTGTCCAGTGGCACTTAACCCTTATTTGCTGTGAACATCAGATGTCAGCACTAGAAAATTTCCAGCAAACAGTAGGTGTGCTTTACCCCATGGAGTTACCATTTTGGCCTTTAGTGGAATTAAAAACATGCAATAAAAATAAAGGCCAAAGACCAAGATCAGAAAAGGAAGTGGTAGAAATACATGAGAAAAAGGTGTGCTTAGTTATTAATACTCAGTTATGATGCCACTCAGTCACATCAGTTCTAAAACTAGCAGCTGAAACCTCCTATCTGGACCTGAATGTCTGATCTACCAGTTAAACCTGATCCTGTTGTGTGATCTGTTTGCTCTGCCCCTTTCTTTATTAAAAGCACATGCAAAAAGGTGTTTTTCTAAAATGACTGTTCTGTGCAGAATTAAGGTTTCCCAGCAAGCAGACACAGGTGCATGGACTTTGGTCCAGGTTAGCAATGCCCTTTTCTAAAGCCCTTCTTCTTCCTTTTTTCTGGTTTTGTTGCAAGAACTTTCATTGTAAGGTGGAGAATTAACCCAGTTGGATATGATATTTTTTAATTCCTCTTTCTGCCTTGAAGCAAGAAAGACCATTGGCTTTTCATAGGAGAACATGTTAAACACACATCCTCTGTAGCACTGCCTCTTATTAGCATGTAACTTCCCTTCATCCAGTGCTTGAGGAACTTCCAGTGCTTCACCTCCCATCTTAGTTATTGCCTTGTTTAATCAAGTGATTTCTCTACAGGGTAACTCAGCGTACATACACGCAACAGGTCTTGAATTTTGCCATTTTGAACATTCTCATTAGACGTGGTCAGACGTCATTTGAACGTTTGGAGAACTTTCTCCTTTTCTTAAATAGAAATCCTTTCAAGTTTGAGATAAATCAGTCTGGTTTTTAAATGTCACACCTCTTTGTGTGTCACTTCCAGCAGTTTACAAGTTTGAGGTCTCTGAGATCTCAGCTTTGCAAGCATCTTAGTTGCTAAACTACGTGATGTTTCTACTGGAACTTTTCTATTCCTGTCCTCAGGGCTTCTGGAGAAATAAATAAATATGTCATTCACATAATTTCTGTTGTATGCTTTTGCCTTTATAACTCAAGTGCCTTTGCAGTTGTGCTGTAACATACTTCTACTCAATGAATAGTCTGTGTTTCTAAAAGGATGTGGTAACTCTGAGCTGCAGTTCGCTGTGCTGATGCACCCAAGTCATCCTTTTATAACTAGTGCTGTTTTGGTGGTAAAATGGGAACTGAAAGCAGACTTCTCCATGGGTGTTCATACCTGAGCACTCAGTTGCATGTGGGGAGGAAAAGACTATAGAAAAGACTATAGCACATATGATTGTAGTGCTGTTTAAGGTCGCAATCAAGGGACTGGCTCTAATACAAAGCACTTGGTGACGTAAATGAGCAATAGGTGACATCACAATATGAGCAGGGTTTCTGAATAAAAACAATCCTTCGGCACATCCTCTCTGAAGTTCTTGAGGCAGGATGGGTCCATACCCGTCTTTTGCACAATAACGTTGTGATTTCATTTTCTCTGAGCTTACTTGAGGCTTGTCTTTAGCAATCCAGACACCGGATTTGTAAGTGATTCTGCATGGACAGTGCATCAGGCACACAGAACAGCTTACAGGTTGGGGAAGGCATCAGTGAGCTCAAAGTGAACATTACTGGAGAAGAAAACCCACACGTTTTTCTTTGAAAGCAAAATAATAAACCTTTTCCTGTTAAGGCCTCAGAGCAGCAGCCTAGATCAACACCAGCCTGGACCTTCCCCTTCCAGCAGCACTGAGGACCCCTTCAGCTGGGTGAGATGCTAAAGTTCCCAAGACTTAGTACATGCCCTGGAAAATACATATGGAGGAGAGCTGGGTCTGCCTGGCAGCTGGACAAATAGGGACCAAATTATTGCCCTTCCATCTGTGGGACTTGAAAGAAAAGAAGTGGAGAGAGCTATTAATTGTTAATGTTTCTGAGTTGCTTTCCCTCTTCTTCCTCTCCTTCAAAGCTGAGTGAGTGGAGGAGGAAATTAACTCATGTCCTTGTTGAGCTTTAACTATTAGTTAGGCCTGGGTAGTACAGAGCCTAGATTTAGCACTGTCTCAGGAGAGCGGTCAGGGAGCAGGCTCTGCTGTGTTGGGAGGAGGGCACAGTGATGCTTTGTGTTAGTGACAGGCTGCACCTGAGGCTGGGCAAACTGAACTAGACTTTACTCCAGTGCAATCTGCTTCTTTGTCCCTAAATGTCTGGAACTTCAATACTGTAATTTTGAGTGGACTTCTTGCTTTTCTGCCTATCAGTGCCCTCAGCACAAGCCCAGCCGAGCGCTCGTATGGTTGTAGCATCAGAAAACCCCTCTTGTCAAGGGGTTAAGGAGAAAGCTTATTAAAATGGTTTAAATGTGGTGCTAATTAGTTTAGCTGTAATGAGCAGCATTAGGCATCTGGTTACTTTGAAAGGGATTGTTGAATAACCATTTCTGCCGACATTCCAATTTGCATAATGACAAGGTGCTGGCATTGCATCCACCATTAATTTGTGATATTTATAACACCATTACGGAGCCACTCTTATCCTCATGCACTATATAAGGTATATGGAAACATAATAAATGATTCTGCTTGTTTGGAAATTGCTTTGGGATATCTTTGGATTTTTGTAATAGTATTTTTGGCAGCTGAAGGCTAACAGCACCCAGAGGAGAGTTTGCCACAGGTTTTGACCAGGGTAGGAATTAGATGTTGCTTCCACATGGGTGTGAGTGTTTATTTTCCCCAGTGCTGAAGCAGAAGCAGGAAACGAGTGTGATCGGATGTGCTGCAGAGCATGCTCCACGCAAACACTGTACATATGTCACTCCAGATCCTCACTGTGAGGTGCAGTGCTGCTGATCTAAGTTCCACAGATCATTCTTATCTGCAAATCTCAACATGTTTAACAGGTCACGGAGCTCTGCTCAGTCCTACAAACTCTTGGTCAGCACAAGGAGGGGAAGCTCTGCCAGCAGCCCATCCAAATGCTTTCCTCTTGTGCTTCTCTTCTCATGCAGCCTCTGGGCACCAAGGCAGGGGAAATAAAGGTGGTCATCCTACCTATGTTATGGGTGGAAAGACAGGAAAGAATCCTTTTACGTGCAGGGCAAATTGTGTGTGGTTTGTGGGAAATAATAGGAAAGAAAATGAGCAACAATGGAGATATTTGTACTAAGGATAGTGGATTTATTTTCCTTCTTCTGAAAAAGCAGCTGTTCACTGAAGGGAGTGAATCTCTGTCCATCATCATCATGTGGTGATGTGCAGATATCTCTGCTCATTGCAGGGGGGGTGGACTAGATGAACTTTGAAGGTCCCTTCCAACCCAAACTGTTCTATGATTCTATGATCATCCCACATATTCTGTGACTTGCAGCTCTTTGCTGTGGTGTCATCCTTTACTGTCACCGTAAAATGTTTCTGGTTTGTGACATTACAGAGAAGAAAATACAAAGGATGTGTTTTAAAAGGTCTTGCACTTTGCAGGGAATGAGCTAGTTTTAGCCAGATGGAGATTTGTCATGTAATGAGATTAAATTAGTAAATCATCTACAGGTATTGCCTGACCCTGCTTGGCCAGACTTTTGGGTCCTGAACATGAGTTGCCCTCTGTGTCCTTGATGTTTCCCTGTCAATCCATAGGATTTCCAGCATCCCCAGGACTTCTGAATGGGCACTGCAGACTTTGCAGCACTGGGTTTCTGAGGCTGTGATAACTTCCCAAGCTGATTTGAAGCTTATTCTGTATGATGAATCCACCTCTCTGCCAGACAGCATCAGGAAAACAGGAAGAGCTCTTACTGTCAGGGTTATTTCACTGTGACAGCTGTCATTCACCAGAGACATCTGTGTCATGTGAGTGTGTGGAATAGTACAGTATAGGCAGAAAGGGGGGGGGGAAAGCACCAGATAGAGAAGAATACGGTTTATGTAAACTTACTTTGTGATCCCAACTACTTAGGATACCATTTGTTTACTTTGCCTGTCCCCTTCAGCTTCAGTGTCCACTCCAATCGATGCCTTGGTTTATGTCACAGAGTCTGGCAAATCTTTGTAAGTGTTGTATTTGCTCTTAAGAAGGGCTTTATGACTACTGTCTTTGCTTCCTTATTCTTTGAGACAGAACCTGAAGACCAAAACTGCTCAGACTTTGTAAGATAATGTTCCTTTGAGAGTTTAAATACACCTCTGTTTGAGCAGAACAATTTTATACATGTAATAAAGGAGCTAATGGGTATTTGCCAACATAGAAGACTAAGGGCAAGTTGTATTTTGGGGAAATGGATTGGAGTTCATGCAGACAAAACTTTATTTGTAACGCTTTGCTCATGTAGTGTAAGAATAGAAACAGGTAACGTGAGTGTGAGTTCAGTCTGAAACAGGTCTGCAATACATGTGAGAAAACCCTAAAGAATTCATCTAAGATAGTAACTCACTAAATCTACATTCCTGCTCAACTGGAGATAACTCCAAGAAATGCATGAGTGGGGGTGATAATATAGAACACTAGTTTGCAATGATCTGGTGTAACATCATTGACTGTTTTGCATAAGCAATTATAAGACGTATTTATTGTTGTCTATTCAGTGAATGTGAACTTCAGTGTAACTTAAAATATGTGAAGTAAAAGAGGCACAGAAGTTTCCATCTCTTTTTACCTCATTTATTCATATGGTGAACAATGCTAAGATGCAGTTAATATCCGGAATCATTTCTCACTAATACAAACTCGCGCCCTTGGATTTAACATCGACTTTGTGAGAATTAGTTCAAAATATGCTGATGCCCCAGATTTTCTTTGGTACGTGCCAAAGACTTCACTTGAAAACACTGATTCAGACTCTGAATGTGCTCCTCCGTGTATCTGCAATGAGAATTTGTCCTCTGGCAAATGCTTTGTAAAGTGTTCTCTTGAATGTGTTCTGCATTCTGAATCCCCTAACACTGAAGGTTATGAATAAATAGTAAAGTAATATAAAAAATAATAATTAACTCACAGGATAAATCAGAGCAAACACGTCCTGCTTGTCTTCCCCTCAGACAGTAGGTTCTGCTTATGCTGTACCAGGGTCTCTGTTTCCTACTGATCACTCACTGAAAACATGCTGCATCCCCTCAGGTACCCTATGCAGGAGCAGAGAGCATTGTGTGCGGTGTAGTGTAGTGGGTACATCAGGTAGGTACTACATGGGAATCAGCTTTTGGGCCTTGCTGGGGGGTGGGCGGGATGTCAGTGTGGGAGCTGTGAGGCTGGCTGTGTCCATCTAGTGTGGCAACCTCAGCTTGCTGCATCAATCCGTGTATTGTTCTCTTAGAAAGCCAGAGCATCAACAGGCAGGAGCATTGATGTCTGAGCTAGGACTTTCAGGCAGTGAGAGCATTTGGCTTTCACACAATGGGTGCTGAGCACTCAGACCAGGGGTGTTTCTCAGCTGATACCATCAAGCTTCTTAATGCCAGGTCTGCGACCGTGCAGCCTGGTCCAACACCATGGACCAAGGAGCACCGTCTGAGGGTTCACCCTGTGGTGCTGATGCTCTAAATAGCCTCTGTATACAGGCAGTATCCTGGGATCTGGGACTTGAGGATATGGCATGCTCTGTGCTGCTGCATGCTCTGCACACCAGGAAGGACATGTACAAGAGCTGAGGCTCTGCAGTTTTGCTCTTGACTTCTGTGAGTTCAGACCTCTGGATGAGACATTTGAGCCAGGATTACCAACAACTTCCTAAACTACTCTGAGACAGATACCTGTGGCTCTGTTTTCCACACTGCTATAAACGTGAAAAGCCTTGTTGGAGTTTAATGACTAGGAAATCCCAGGCTGACTCCTTCCTCCAGCAGCTGTGAGTAATAATACAAGAACATGTTTCACCGGTGGGATGCTAACTGACGTGGAGTAGGAAAATCATCTACTCGGGATCTCTGAGCAGCTCCCTGTTAGAGCTTAATTGTTCTCCACCTGGAAGGGAATTGTTTTGAGCTCCGGTGTTTGAATTATCTCTTAATTAAACTGGGTCATGTCCCATCTGAGCTAAGAGTTCAGCTGCTCATAGCACCAGCTCCAACCTGGTCAGCAACGGTTTAGTTTTACAGTGTGAAATAGTCGCTTGAGTATCCATTTCCCAGCGGAGCCGCTTTTTTCCTACCAGTGAAAGCTGCGCGGAGCTGTACTGCAGGTGCCATTTGTAAATACTTTCCCTGAAAACCTTTTTTTTTGTCGTGAAAGTTCTCATTTTCAGAGACACAAACGAGTCTGCTCGGGGACTTCTGGCGCTTGCACGCTTCGAGGTGAAAGGAGATGAATACGCGGAACGGAGCAGGGCTGCCCGCATCTTCCCCCCAGGCGCCCACCCAGCCGATCGCAACTCGCGTCCCTGGGGCTCTGAACCTCCTCTCGCCCCTTGCCTGTAACAGCAGCGCTGGCTGCAGACGGTGTTTCTACGGGAGGGTGAAAGATTTTGGGTCTTCCTTTCTCTCTGCAGCGGGTGTGCGGGACGCGGTGCCTCTTCCCCGCAGAGCCCCGCAGCCAGCCCAGGCCGGGGGCAGAAGAAAGGGGACCAGGAGGAGGGAACTGAGGGAGAGCGGAGCCCCGGTACCCCGCACCCCGGCACCGGGGTCGGCGATGCGAGGAGCGGGTGCGGATGGGGGATGCGAAACTCTCATCCCCTCTCTTTGCTCCCCAAAATCGGTCCGTAAAAGGCCAGTTTCTTAAAATCACCCCTGGGAAGGCAGTCGGCAAATTCCTGGGCTGGGGGAGAAGGCGGGAGGAAATAGGGAGGGAAAGGGAAAAAACCCTCAAAAGACACACACACCCCAAACCTAAGAACTAGTGGAAAGAGAGCTCGCTCTTCCCCGGCGTGATTTTTGAGATCACGGAGGAAGTGTGGAAACGGGATAAAAGGTCCGGGCTAGAGAAGCAGCTCATTTGGGATGCTCACAGCCGTGATAGACTTTTTCTTTGAGGTTAAGAGAAAAAAGATAATTAAGTAAGGAAAGGATTCAAAAAGGGCGGCTTTGGTTCTAGTTTAAAACCAGCGGAAAGGCGACGGAAAGACCATTTTATTCTTAAAGTGGCAGAATCGGAATGAAAGAGCCGGTTTATTAAATGTACAGAAATCCCAAATCCCGGCCTCCGCGGCTGCGGGAACACGGGAGAGCTCGGATTCTCTCACGAGGCAAAAACGATGTATTTTTTGTTGTTCTTAATATTGCACACCAGCGATCGGCAAAGCCAGTTAAGACAATGCGAATAAGGGAACTAAGAAGGGAAAGACCTTTCTTGGGGTATTAGAATAAAGCTCATTTGCGGATATGAAATAAACGGAACGAAAAAAGGACTCAAACATCTGTAGCGGGCTTTGCCAGAGGCAAGTTGTCTTAAACAAACCAGCCGAAACCCAGGGACTCGCCACCACGGAAGCGGCCGTTTCCTTCAAGTTTATTGATTGATTTAAAGTGTTTAGCAAACAAAGTGCTTCCAGGTCATCTCTTGCTCACGATTCCCTTATACATTAATTATAAAGTTAAAACTTCTTCTTTTATCATTTCTTTTTTGTTGTAACAACCAGAAATATACAAAAACGATCAACGAAAAAACCAACCCCGCCGCCCCCTCCCCGGGTCCGACTTTCGCTGAAGAATGACGTATGTAAAACCCAACTGTCGTCACTGTGACGTCACGGGTGGGGAAGTTGGGGAGTGGGGGGGGGGGGGGGGGAGCCGAGGGACAGGACCGATAGGTCTGGTTTACCCTGAGAGTCAAATGGGTACGTAACCTTTTTGTGTTCGAAGTCTTTTACGAGTGGCCAGACCAGAATAAAAACGAATAATAATTAATAAATAATAATAATAAAAATAATCAAGCTCACATAGCAACGAGGGACGGGGAAAATAAAAATACAGGTAACGAGGATTTACATCTACGTGTATGTACACGGGAAAGGGAGGTTTTCCACTTCCTCCTCTTCCTCCCCTTCCCCTCAGAAGCACAGTCCGGACACACCGTGTACAAAAAGGGTCGTAGAAACGACTGCGGCCGGTGGAGCAGCCCCGGGGGGGAGCCCCTTCCCCTCCGCCCTCGGTTCCGGGCTGCCGTTGGTTTCACCTTTCGGGAACGGAGGGAAAAGCCGCTCGGAGACGGGATGGCCGAGAGAAGGATGGAGGAGAGGAGAAGGATCAAGCGTCGTCGGGCTTATAGGTGCGGGGTGTAGAAGGCCGGAGCTCCGTAAGTCTGCGAGCCCAGGACGAAGGGCGAGAGGACGGCGGGGCTGGGCAGGAAGGGCAGTTGCGCGGCGCACACCAGCCCGCCCGCGGGGTGTCCGGCGTAGCCACCGGGCCCGTGCATGGAGAGCGGGTTGCCCATGGGCGGCGAGTGGCTGAGCGGGCTGAGCCCGCCGGGCAGCGCCCCACCGCCCAGCCCTCCGCCCGCCCCGCCGCCCGCCCCGCCGCCGCCCGTCGGAGCGCTGGTGTCGGCCCCCGGGTTCTGCTTCTTCCACTTGGTGCGGCGGTTCTGGAACCAGATCTTGACCTGCGTCTCGGTGAGGCTGAGGGACAGCGCCAGGTTGAGGCGCTCGCACACCGACAGGTACCGCGTGGACTTGAATTTGTTCTCCAGCGCCACCAGCTGCTCGTAGGTGAAAGCTGTCCGCGCCCGACGGGGCTTCCCCGACTTGGAGTCCGAGCCCGTCCGCTTCCTCTTGGGCTTGGCCGCTTGGCTCTGCTGCGTCCCGCCGGGACCCGCTGCCGGCTGCTGGGGCGGAGGGGGCGGCGGTGGCGGTGGTGGAGGCGGGGGGACGCCGCCAGCCTCGCCCGCCTCGGCGTGGAGGTGGCCCGCGTCGGCCTCGCCGGGTGCCGCCGAGCTGCTGGTGCTGCTGCTGGTGCTGCCGCTCTCCTCGCTGCACAGCTCCTCGTCGTCCGGCAGCTCGCTGTCGGGGCTGCGGCTCGGCCGGCTGCTGTAGTCGAGGTCGCAGTCGTCGGCCTTGTAGAGGTCGCCGTCCTCTGCGGGCAATGAGAGCTGCGGTTAGGACTCACCGCCCGGTCCCGACCGCGGTCCCCACCGTCCTCTACCTCCCCGTGGAGTGACCCCAACCGACGGTACCCCGCTGTTACTGGGACAGGGATGCTCGGGAAGCAGGGCCGCGGTGCTCGCCGCACCGGGACAAGCCGTGGGGATGCGGCCGGGCCGGGCACCCCTCTGCTGCGCGGCCGTTCATCCGGCTGCGCTGTACAGGGGCTCGGAAACAGCCGGGACAGGGCTCGGAGCCGTTCCGAGGGCTGCAGCTGGGAAAGGACTGCGCAGCCCGGGGGGACTTTGCCAGCGCTGCCCCTTCCGAGCCACTCATCTTGGGCAGGAGCTGGCAGGAGACGTGGCCAGGGCAGGGCATGGACCTCAAAGGCCGGGAAGGCCTTCGGGAAGGCAATGGGGGATCCCCGGAGCTGCGGCCGGGAGAAGTCCCCGCTCGGGCCGAGCAGCGTTTTGGAAGCGGGCAGCAAAAATGTCACATCGCTTTTAGCAATTTTAGTGACAGAAATGTCTGCATCCATGGGAAATTTACTGGTTTTTACTCTGGCATTTTTAACCCTTCCTCCGCCTGGTTTGACCTCTTGTCACCTCCTGAGATGGAAGTATTAAAGTGGAGTAAATTCTTGTATTGATTAGCAGAGCAGATACAAACTTAATTAAACTCATTTTGTGTAACGTGCAAACTAGTTAACGGTCATTTAATTTATTTGGGTTTATATTAGGCTCCAATTAACGAGTCTCCATTGGAGAACAGGGTAATTATCCGATATTTAAGGCTGTTGGACTCCTGCTGACCATTCTGTCACCGTGAAGCCTGGAAGCGGATCGCCGTTTCCAGAGAGCCGGCGGCTCCTGACCCCACCAGGGCTCCTCTGGGGGAACCGGGATGCAAATCCCCACGCTGCTGGGCCGAGATTGCGGGGACACGGAGGGAGCCCATCAATGTAATCCTTTATAAACCCAATATAATCCTTTCTCTTTTTTAGGTTTCAGACACCCTAAACCTCCCTCCACTCGCACCTACAACGGGGAAGCACCCCCGGCAAGCCCCCATGAAGGGCCACTTTAACTTGGTTAACCGAGGTAGCGAAATAGAAACTGAATCGCTCATTTGCCACCCTTACCCCAGCGTAATTCGGTTATTTTTAATCCTCAAAATCCTGAGCCCTCACCTCAAACGTGGTCAGTGCCCTAATACCAACACCCTAAAGCCCGTATGAACAACCTTGTCTAGTGGAAGGTGGCCCTGCCTGTGGCAGGATACCGGAACAAGACGATCTTTAAGGTCTATTCCAACCCAAAGCATTCTGTGATTCTGCGATTAGGGGTGTTTTTAAAAAGTGCATTTTGTTCAACGAGTTGATTTTGGCTAACACCGGGTATGCCTTGCTAGCTAGGAGAGAAAGGGGCAGAGAAGTTGTATGCAATCCCTTTCACCCGGTAAATATCCCATCATAAAATATCCCTGGATAACTGGGGGTCCATGCGGAGCCCTTGGCAGCTTTCAGTTCAGCGCCGGCAGCTTCCCCGGCCCGACACGCTGCCACTCGCAACCTGTAGCACATCCCGGGAACGGCGCTGCCCAATTCCTGCACCAACAATTCCTAAGAAGTGCGTGGATCTCCACGCATGGGATAGAGCCGACACGTCGCTCCCACTCACCTCGAGCAGGCAAAGAACAGCTCGTGTGCCAGTCTATTTTTTTTCCCCAGTAAACTCCACGAAATCCCACCCGTACCTCCACTAAAACATTCTTTAAACAAGAGCATAGCAGCGCGAATACAACCGCGACTGGGATAGACGCTGGATTTGAGATTTTGCTTCTGGAAAACGTTAAATGTTATTTTTAAACGGAGTTTTAAGCGTTGCTTTGTCACATTAAACGAGTTTGAGGAGCGGTGAGTGGCAAACCCTCTCCGAACTTCCCTTATGCCGGCGAGCCTCAGGTTTTGCCTGGTGCAGGCGCTACTTTTCGGAGCACTTCACCTAAATAAAATCACTGTTTGAGCGAGTGTTAATGACGATGGGGAAAGAGAGGAATTAATTGTCGTGATTTTCGAGCAGTCCCAGCTCTATTCGTGGCCGTTGCCACACCAAGGCCGTAGCACCCAAGGGCGCAATGTCCGCAGACGAAGCACCCCGAGCCGTGGTGCCTTCGAATAGATTTGTTTTAAGAGGGGGGAGAGAAATACATTTCTCTGCTTGTCTGGAGATAAAAGTGTGAGATTAGCGATAGGCTGCCCTCGTCAGTCTTTCTGATCGCCCAGATCTATTTAGTATGACAAAAAGTCAGATGAGTTTAGACGAATAATTACCCCAGCCACGCTCTGCCGTTAAAAATCGCCTTCGAGTTCTGTTACTGCCCCGTTCTCGCTTTTGCTTTAGAGATGAGAAAATGAGGATTAGAAAATCTCCATCTCGGGATGGAGATTCCAGACCTTATTCCCCGCCTAATTTTAATTAAACGAACCGTGCTATGGCGGGATTAGGAAGCTCCGAGTTTTCCTTTCCCGTCCCGGGCACAGGGAATTTATTTTTCCCAATCCAAGAAGTTATTCCCCCGCTACTCGCCGGCTTCTCTCTCCCTTCTCAGGATACAGAGTAGCTATAGATATTTTTCCACAACTACCGTCTTTTCCCGGAAACCCTCCGCTATTCCCACAATCGCCGTGTTTAGAGGTGAGAAAGTTGGGATATTTGGACCAGGAAAAAAAAAAAAAAAGCAATCTGGAGCTTGGGTCGAATGCAATTCCCGATCAATAGCGAGCCCTAATAAGTGTAATAGGTTTTAATCGAGTAATTATCCGAATTTTGACCCTATAATTTAGATGTTAGGGAAGAGTTTGCAAGGTGCTTGAAAGAGATATGCACAATTCGATAATAGGATATCGATCCAGGCAGTCCTACATGCCACTCTGGGGCGATTTCTCCCATTATCCAACCTCTTTACGCTGCTAAGCACATTTTACCTTAAATGTAATCGAAGGAATTTAATTGTTTTTCCAGAGATAACCAGCATTTTGTCACAATTAGTCTGATTTGTCCTAAAAAAGCCAAGGGGAGAGAGAAAATTGAATCTGTCGCCCAGAGCAACGGGGAACGAGGGAGGGAGGGAGAGACCGGGGCAGCGGCGCTGGAGCCAGGCGGGGAGAGACGCGAATGTCCTGGGTGCCTGGGGACAGCGGGGACACGGGGAGAGGATTTCGCCTCCCCGGGGCCGGGTTTCGCGTCCCCTAAAGCCTCAGCTCCACGAGCCGCTTTCGAGTTTCCCTGAGCCAGAGCTCGCATCCCGGGCTGCCTTTTCCCAGGAGGATGAGGACGGAGGGATCACTCCCCTTCCCACCCGGCCCGGCCCCCGGGACTGATCCTGCCGCTGCAGGGGTGCACAGGGCGAAGAGCCGGGGTGTCCCTGCTCAGCTCTCAGGGAGCGGAGCCCGGCCGGTGCCACGCCGCCAGCCCCGGGCGATCCGCTCCCCCATCAAACGCAGTTTTTCCACCTCTTTACACCAAGTAGCAGCAGCGCGGGGAGCGTTCGCACTGCGCCGAGAGCCGGCTGCCCCCAAGGATGCCAGGGGAGGAAGAGGGGAATAAGAAGCATGCAAACCCCTTCCTCTGACAGCTGGGCGCAACCCCAGTCCCGGGGGGACTCCGAGTCCCCAGCCCCACTTACTTATCAGGCCTGCGGGCTTCTTGCACGTCTCGAAGTCTTCGGCGAGAACCTTTTGCTCGGCCAGCTCCGTCCCTGAGTCCTCGGGCTTATCCTCTGCCCCCAGCGTGAACTCGGTCCCCACCGATTTGTACAAGCCCGCGCAGTGCCTCCGTTTGCTGTTGAACTTGTTAGGGTCCAGGATGTCGAGCACGGAGAAGGAGGTGGTTCTGTGCACCGCAGGCAGTGCGGCCACTGCCCCCTCTTGTCCGGGAGTGTTGCTTTGGCTGTCCCCTTGCCTGTCCCGGTTCCCAGGGCAGGAGTAGAGCGGCAGCTCGCCGCCGGCCGAGAGCCGCTGCTCCCCATGGCTGTCCATGCCTTCCCCGTGCAAGCCGCAGGACTCCCCGGCGATGCCGGCCGCTGTCACCGCCGCGGCTGCCGCTGCCGGGATGGAGATGTCACCGACCTTGTCTCTGCTCACATTCATGTCTCTTTGCAGAGCCCCTCTCGGCTGCAACTTCCCCCCCCCCCCCCCCCCCTTCCCACCCCCCTCTTCCTTGCTCGGCCCCCCTCCGCTTTCCTCCGGCGAAGTTGAGCTGGAAACTCCTCCCCGGCCCCGCTCGGGCTCCGGGCTCCCGGGGTCCAGCCGGCCGGAGCCGCCGGGAGTCACAGGGTGATGCTCTGCTCAGAGCCTCCGCTCAGCTGCTCCTTCTTCCTTCTCATCATCCTCACCAGGCTACCCCCCCACCGCTCACACGTACACACAGGCGCGAGGCTGTATCTTATTTATGCATTCATATTTAGCACTGGGTTGTAATTGGCTACAAATTAATCCCTCGCCTGTAATAGTCTGTAATCTTCATCACTGGAGGAGAGACACGGTGAAAGTGTGCGCCGGGGGAGGGGGGCAGAGAGGGAGAGCGGGTGAAGGATGGTGGTGGCGGTGATATACTTGGCTGTCAGCTCTGTTTCAGCACACCTCCACTCATCTGGAAAGCATCTAAATAGCCTTATTTGGAGAAGTGGGAGGAGATGACGCTTTCTTTTAAATAATTGCGGGATCAATATAAAGAAGATATTATACGTAGAAAATGGGAATCTAAGGTCTCCCATCCCTAATAGCGGAGTTAGATGATCCAAAGGGGATTATATGTGTGTGTGTATGGGGGGTGCAGAAGTGTCAGCGCCCAGCACCTGTTTCCCTTCCCCTCTGGTTTTATTTAATTAGAACAAAAGGAGAAAATGATGGAATTGAGGGTTACCCGTTGGAGCGGGGCTGGAGTCTGAGAATTCCCTCCCCCCCCCTCGCCTCTCTCGCTCTCCTCCTTAGCTAATTAATTACAATTAAATATCAAATGTATGTGCCAGAAGAAAATGAATACGTTTAAACGGCACAAGAGAAAACACCACGATCAATAAATTCTGAGTAACTGTGAGAAAAGGTCTGTTCCCTCCCATGCGGGAGTAAAGCGATGACCAGCCCCAACTTCCTCTTTCGGGTAAAGAGAGGAAAAAAATACTCTCTTATTAACAGTGGGTTTAGTTACGGGAAATTAGGAGATGGGAATAAAAGTTAACTGCGGATTATAAACCCCGAATTTCTTCCCCGACCTCATTTCCTTCCGTTTCGAGTAGAGCCGTGTGTGCTTTGATCATATCCGTTTCATTCTTATTTTGGACGCTCCAGTCGCTACTCGGTTTGAATTAGCTGCCAAAGGAAAAAAAAAAAAGGGGGGGGGGGATGTAGGAAAATAGAGAAAGCATAAAAGGAAAATGAGATTTTTTTTTCCGTCTTTGAGGCTGGTGACACATACAAGGACAGGTCCTTTGCAATTACCGCGGGCAATGATCCTTTAGAAAGCAGAAATTAAAAGTTGGGAGAAATAATGGGTAAAACAATCAGCTTGTAATTTTGGTAGGGCTTGGACATGATTAGTCCATCAGCGGGCTGGGCCCAGGGGAGTCCCGTGGAGCCGGAGCCCACAGCAGCCCCCGCTCATATATTATACACCAGCCCTTAGATTTTAATCAGACACCACAACAGTGTCCTTTCCCTTTTATGACTTTATTACGCTTTATCTTTAAACTATAAATCACCTCCCGGGTTGAAATGGTATATGTATAATCTCTGATCATGTGTAGGTAATTACCTCTCCCCCTTTCCCTGACCTTACCGACGGGGCTGCTAGGAACGAAGTTTTAATCTGCATGTGCATACGAAAGTCCCCCCCTATCTGCTTGTTTGTTTGTTTGTAACAGCTCCTCTTCCCCTCCTCTCTTTTCTTTAGGGTAATTTCCCCTCCCGTTACTTCTGCCCGCAGTTCTGGGATATTATCTAGGGAAAGTGGATGAGAATTTTGGTGGGTACCAATGACTTGGCTCTGGCACTCGCCTGCATTTGTACCCTTTTCGGAGTGAATGTGTGTTTTGGGGGTGGCGGCACGGATAGGTTTTATCCCCCTTGTCACTACATTGTAGGAAATAAGCCCCCAAACCTAATTAGAATTAAATCTGTGTGCACAGCGCCCGGACGGGGACATTGGCGCAGATTCCTGGGGGCTTGGAGGAAAAGGAGCCACATCCCCAGGGAGCACCCACAAAAAGAGGCACCTCCTGGGCACCCTGATGTGCTCGCAGGCACCACCGGCCCTGTGGGCACCGACAGATCCGCCCTACCCCGGGGTACGGTGGCGCATTAAGGATGCTGGCGAAGGGGGGGGGGGAGGCACTGCCGCCCCCCATCCCGACTGAATCCCCATGCAGCCTGGCCCTTTTGTTTGTTGGCGGTTTAAAGCGAGTGTTATAAAGATGTTCTATTGCTCCTAATCACAATTGATTGTCAATTAGAGCCTCATTTGTGCAATCGCCATCCATCTGCCATCTCTGGTTATCTGTTCACCAGAAAGTTAGGGCTGATTACGGGGCCCGAGATGAGTTGTGACATGTAATATCTCTCCCGTGAGCTGGCTGGGTGACCGGTCCCTTTTCGCTCTCCAGGAAGAAAATCTTTCCCATTTTTCCTTGCAGAGGAGGGAAAAGCAACAGCTTTTCCCGGGAGAGAAATGCTGCCTTGCGGGAGCAGCTGGACGGGGTGCTGGTGGGTGGCAGGGAACCCCGCAAAGGGCAGCATCGACGCCTCGCAGAGCTAGTGCCCTGTATTTTGGCCCCTTTTCCTCGACAGGGAAAGCTCCCATGGGAAGGATTCCTTCTCTCAAATAGAGCCGCCCGCCGCGGCGATGCCCATCTCGGTACTTGGGCTGAATGATACCTGCGGGGAGGTACCAAGCCTGAAGGCACCGGCGAGCAGAGCATCTCCCGATCCCCCCGGGTACTCGCTGAGTACCGAGTGCTCCTGGAAATGGGGTGGGGGGGTTGTGTCTCTTTGGGAGGTCTAAAGAGTGGATGCGGTCCCTTGGTTTTGTAAGGGAGAGGGGGGACCCGCATAGGGCTCTGCCCATCCCCGCTGTGGACCGCGGTTGCTCCCGCTGGTCTGTGCCGAGGCCGGCGGGGAGGACCCGAGAGGTTTTCGGCCTCAGGCTTGATTAGTTAATACCGAATTCCAAATTAGACTTCAGCGGACTCCGGATTAAAGAACGATCATTTTATTTTCCCTCTTAATCTTTACTTTGCCTGTTCACCATTCCGCCCCGGCCCCCGGGTGTGAAGCTCCGGGGTAATTAAAAGCATTTATCGCCAAGGTAAAGCAATTTAGCAGCCCTCACTGAGTCGAGAAGGTCACTCCGGTGTGGCTGCACCAGGCGCGGAGCCTCCGCGTCCCTCCGCGCAGCACCGATACCGAGCCCACATCTACCCAGCTGGGGGGTCCTGCAGCTCCCATGGGCTTCTTGTCTCTCTCCATTCCCTTTTCAAATGCAGCTGGGTTCCAAAACTTGTCTCCTGCTCTGAGTGGGTTCCCTAGATATTATATTATTTATTATTATTATTACTATTATTATTATATTATTATTAGGCTCTGTGGCCAGCCCCTGCATCGCCCAGCGCTCTCGGTCTCAACCTGATTTGGTGCCCCCGGAGGGTCTCTCCCCGCAGGACAGAGCTGAGGACCGGGGCCAGGCGGTCACCTCGGGATGCTCGGCTCTCCCGTGGAAAATGGGACACCCCCCCCCACCCCGAGCCAAAATCAGGGAATTAATTAATTCTATCCACGAAGCCAAATGATTTAGGGAAAAAATGAAGATTCTGAAGCAGATCTCGCCCTCTATCAATGCAGTGTCAGGTCCTCATAGTAGAAGATTTAAAAGCCCTGGGGATTCCAGGTTAGGGTAGTAATGAGCTTAATTGAGGTTAATGCTTCCTGCACAGCTCCTTGATTATTAAATTAATATTATCACACACATGAATCATAATTAGAAGTTTAAATAATGCTCTAGGGGAATCCTCGGAGGATCTATTAAACAGTTCCCTTCCATCCTGCCGGCTTATTCCCGGCCCCCCCAGCAGCAGCCCCTGGGGCAGCCAGGGATGGATGCTGCTGGATAGGGGGTGCATGGGACAGAGGGATACCCCTGAGGGTCACAAGGGGGAGCGGGACAGCGGTACCCACAGTTCCCCATCGCCCTTCAAACCTCAGCTCGACGGACCCCTGTTGAGACAGCCACTTCTCCTCCCGCCTCCTAATTTGGGCGCTTATCTCCCCGAGCCCGGAGTTTCTATGCAATACTAATGAAGTGCCTTGTTGTCACTTATCGCGGCTGGGATCGCCTCTGCAGGGGCTTTTCTTCACGTACTTCGTGAAAGTCGACTGGGTTTGTTGGCAGGAGGTTGGAGTCCCTATGCGGGATGCGGGGCAAGGAGGGGGCATCCCCAACATCTCAGGTACCAACCTCTAGGTACCCCGCCCGCGGCCCCAGCCCCCGGCACGGCCAAGACAAGCGAGAGAAGCAGCTTCGGGGTATATGTGTGTGGGTCAGGTTTGGCTGTGGGGGTGCAGAACGGGGTGCTCTGCATCCCTCCATTTCCTAGTCTTCCCCCTATCTCCCTAGCTGCGGTGATGCCCCGAGAGCAGCAGCATCCCGTTTGCGGGGCAGCAGGGATGCAGCCTGGGAGCAAGCAGCCCCTTTATTTTATTATTGTTATTTTAATAATAATAATAATTATTATTATTTCTAATGAAAGGATGGAAGAGACAGGGGGATGGCACAAGCAGCCCCTTCGGGGACCTCAGTGTAAACGATGAAATAAAAGAGAAATCAGATGGCTGGCACACAGGCAGCTCTCGCTTGGTCTCTCTTTCTCTATTTATTTTTCCTCTCTGTTGCTGAAACATATTGAAGGGGGAGAAAAAGGAAACATTAAGATCAACTGTGAGCCTTGCCGACGGTTTAACGATTTCAAATGAGCTCTGACTCTGGTGAAAATCTGACAATTACCCATCAGGATGGCAGATGATGGTTAAAATTACCAGAAATCAATATTCTCACCGGGTGTCCCAGCCTGATAAGAGAGACCAAGACAATGTTGACTATTAAAGTCGACAGCTTGAGATATTACACTATTAGTTATGCTATTTTTAATAATCTATAATATTTGGGCTATAATTAATTAATTATACGGGTCAGATAATATCTGGGGCTGGAATGAGGTCTGAAGGGTCTATTAAGGTTGGTAATGAGAAAGGAGAAATCTAATCTAAGGACGAGGAGCCGTGAAGGAACAAATATACAACAGACTTCAGACAGAACGAGAGGGAAGGAGAAGGGC